GGTGGGGGGGGGGCTGTGGGCACACACACATGCACACGCTCACTGCCCCAAACAGGGGACACTGCAATCCTCCTCCCCAAACCCTTCTGCTCCATCATGACTGCCCCATTCCCTTCCCTCGCCTCCACCTGCCAGAGGTGGCTCAACGCCATCCAGACCAGCGTCATGCCCAGCCCGTGAGAGCTGGGCTGAGGCCCTGCAGCTCGTTTCCCTGGTCAGCCCCGAGGCTGCTCTCCGCAAACCGTGTGGTGGCGATGCCGGGGGACCCCGGCTGCTTCCCAGCCTGTGGCAAGGAAGCCGCAGCGACCCCAGCTCACACGGGGAGAGCCGGGTCCTCCCGCCTCACTGAACACCTCCCCGCACCTGCAGCTCACGCCGGCCCATCTGCTCTGTCCTGCTGACCCTCCGTCTCTGCCTCAGGTCCGCACTGTGTGCCTGTGCCCTCCTCTTCTCCCGCTCTGCCATCTGCCACATCCCTGTACCCTTAATCCCTGCCTCACCGCGCATCCCTGCTGTCTGTGCCCCTGTAGACTAAGTCCATCTGCTCCTGCCGGCAGCCCTGCCTTCAGCTGGAACAGCCTTGGCTTCCAACTGTCCCACCAGCACTCTCACATCCTTCCCACGCAGCCTTCCTCCCAGCCACCTCATCCTCCGCACCTGGGTTTGCTGCTTGGCTCAAGAGAGGGACTGTGCCCGCAGCTGGCTGGTACCCTGTGGCACCCAGCTGCAGGTGTGGTGGCAGGAGGGAAGAGGCTCCGCTTCTTGCACCACCCATCCAGGGCATCTGAAGAGGCTTCCAGCCCCTGTCCAGCTCAGGACCTGGATCCTGTTCCTGCCTCCATGGTGGAGGGAGCAGGGATGCTGCAGTCCTGTAGAGCAGTCAGCCTGCATCACCTCTCCCTCTGCTGATTGTAGCATCACACTTGATATGGATGTGACAGTACCCACAGCAATGTTTGAAGGCTTTTGGGCTTGGTCCTGGCACTGGCAGTGATGCAGGAGGATGGACCACCCCTGCCAGATGCTGCTGGAGCTATTTCTGGGATGCTGTTCCCATAAGAGCCATTGCTGGTGGGGTTCTGCTTGTCCCCCCAGCCTGTCTCACCACCCAGGTCATGCTGTGCTGAGCACAGCCCAGCTCCAGGGCTGAGGCTCCAGGTGACCCCAGCACTGGTGACGATGTGGCCGTGACCGTGACAGCAGCAGCCACACTCAGCACCCAACCCAGCCTCCTGCAGCGCGGCGGCACCACAGATCTGCCGGGGGGGGCTCTGGGTTTCTGGCAGACAGAGAAATTGCTAGCGAAAAATCGGACGGCAGAGCCTGTTTCCAGCACTGAGACTGGTGCTGGAGTGACCATAGCTGGGGAGAGGACGGGGCAGCCACCAGCTCGGAGTGATGCTGTGTGCCAGGCACTGCTCGAGGCTGAGTGGAGAGCCCAGCACAGCGCAGGAGAGCAGAGCTGTGTTGAGGGCACAGGGGTTCAGTGGCATCCCCTTAACCCAGAGGAGAGATGCCCGGACCCACTCGGACCGAGTAAAGGCTCTGCACCCAGCATCCAGGCTGGGCGCTGGGGGACTTTGCTCCATCCCCACTCCCTGCACTCCTCCAAGCCCCACTGCTGTCCCTGTGCCCAGTGGGTGGGATGGGGGATGCCTGGGGGGTCCCTCCAGCTGCTGCCCCCCTCAAGACCTCACCGGCAGCGTAGGCAGACCTGCTGGGGGACTGGTTGAATAGCCGGGGCACTGCTGTCTGCCGGGGCAGGGGGTGATGGTGTCTTGCTGTGCTTCTCCCTAGGAGCTATTGTGCCTACGTGGTGCAGCGCAACGTGACGTGCACGCTGCAGGATGGGGCCGAGAGCTACGTCAAGGCCGAGTACCACAAGTGCAGCTGGGGACCCAAGTGCCCGGGAAAAGTGCTGTGAGTACGGGGGACGCTGGGGCACGGCTCCCTTCCCCTCCCAGCTTCAGGTCACAGCTCTTCTCAGGTTCCCGAGCCCCTCTACCACCCTTCTGAGCATCAACCTGTGTTTCCAGAGGGCAGTGAAAGGGGCTGAAGGGCTTTTCCCGGACGAGGCGGTCAGTGGCAGGGCAGCGGTGCTGGGAGGAGGCAAGACGGGAGGGAGGGAGCTTCGGAGGGAGAAGGAGCTCCATCCCTCATCAGAAATCAATCAGGCAATCGTGGGCAGCCAGGGGGGTGCATGTGCGTGTGTGCAGGGAAGCATTCTGTTAAAGACCTGCGATTTGGCAGAAAGATGGCGTCGAGGTGAGAGCTTGACTGAGGGGAAGAGGAAAGGGAGCTGGTGGCTGGGGATGGCTGAGGGCTCCCTGCCCCAGGGAAATATTTGCAAATCTCTCTGCCACCTCGTCAGTGCTGGAGGGAAACACCCCGCCGTGCCGCAGCCGGAGCTGAAGCCAGGGCAGGGCGGACACTGGGGCTTTGAGCTTCACGCTTTCTGCAGCCCCCGGCCAGGGATGCTGCTCCATGCAGAAATGCTGCACTCCCACATCCTCCCCAGCCCCACCGAGAGCAGCAGAGCCGAGCACTGAGGAAAATTGGGCTGAGAGGGGCTTTTGTCGGAGCCTGGCACCCCTCCTGCGGCACCGGCGCGTGGTGATGTGGCCAGCTGGGACTCGCTGTGTGCCGGCGGTGCCGCAGCCTCAGCTCGCGGCCTCTCCCAGCAGAGATGGGCTATCGGACCCGCTCGCTGACTAGCTCTTTCCTTGCTCCCGTTGCAAGTGCTTTAGCAGCATTTGAGGACTTCAGGACATCCTGCAGCCGCTGGTACCCGTGGAGGAGATCCCCAAAGCCTCTCCCATCTCCGCAGTGTCCGCTGCTCGGCCTCTTCAGCCCTTCAAACAAAACTGGGGCGAAACCAGGGTGGTTTTTGAAAGCAGCTGGACCTGCAGCTGGACTTTCTGCACAGCCTCGGATGCTGCATCCACACGTGAGAGGGAAACGTGGTTTCTCCATGCGCTAGGGCCATCAGCTAATGTTTGTGCAGCTGCAATAAATACTTCTCCTTGTCGCCATTTGGAGCGGGGGAGAAGGGTTTGGAGGTGCCGAAAGGCTCCGGGCTCCTCTGCAGACGCTGGCGTGACACAGAGAAGGTGCCTTGCCTTCTGGATGCCATCCTCATCCTCACTTCACCGCCTGACAGTGGTTGGGTGCAAGTCTCTTGCTGTGGTCCACCCAGGCAGGTTTCTACACACTAAGACAGAAGAAAAGACCACAGGAACTCAGCAGCATCTGTGAAGAGGAGTAACAAAAAGAAGAGCTTGGTTTGAAACTGTCCCATGCCTTTGGGAAATTGTTGATGCTGAGAAATGTTGAAGCGATTCAAAGAACAGAGGATTTGGGTTTGCTTTCTCCTCCTGCCCTGCAGTACGTACAGAGGTGGCTGTATCACACCGGGAGTCGTGTGGAGGTGTCATTGCCCGGGGGCTGCAGCGGGGGCCGGGGGCGCCGAGGGCCGGGGCAGGGACAGGGGGACGGGGGCATGGCCCCGTGTGCTGCCCCGAGCGACTGGATAAGCGCGAATGCTTCACGCAGCCCCTCTGTGCAGCACAGATAGTTGTGCCGCCTCCCCCGAGACCTTCTGCTGAACGTGCTGGAGAAGAACAAGGGCCTGATTGTACGTGTTGTTGCAAAACAGCAAACTTCAGGATTTTTCAGGCCCTGGTAAATTCAGATTGGAAATTTCCAAAAGGCAGGTTCAGAGCATTGGCGTTTCAGAAGTGGTGAGAAACACACCGTCTTCAGCCTTGCGCGGCTCAGCTCGGCTGGTGGGGGGAGCACGGGTGCTGGCGGAGTCCTGTCCCATCTCCCTGCCACCTCACGGGAAGGTGCCACGGAAGACCTGGGAGCCGCTGAGTCCTCCCCGCAGGGCTGGTAGGGACCCCACGTAGAGCTAGAGCAGAGAGGGAGGGTGTTAGTGTCCCACCGGGCAAGGAGGTGGGCTCGTACCCTTGTTTGTTGTGTATGAGGTCATCAGTGTTGTAGTGCCCGAATTGGTGATGGAGAAAGCTCCCAGGGCATCCCTGCTTGGGGGCAGGAGGAGGAGGTGTAAGGAGCCATCCCTCTGTGCACACCCCATGGCATCGCCCCGGTAAACCTCGCCAGGGCTCTGCTGCCCCAGTGCCACAGCTCTCGCTCATGAGGCCAGCCCAAAGCACTTAGGCTTCCCATCAAACCGATGCCCTCCACGCACAGAGAAAACATCTTTTCAAAGAGGTATTTCAACCCTCCTCGAGGCTTCAGGACAGGATTAGAATTAAGAGGATTTTTTTTACCCCACTAGGAAATTCTCTAGGTCAATTCGAAGTGCAAAACACACCCACAAGCAATCCAGACCCCTCCTGGAAGTGGTCTGAGCTTGCGGGGGTTTTGGAATCACTTCCATCATTTCAACTTGTGCTCTCCTGGGCCAAAAAATGCCAAACTGTGTGGCATCTGTCACAGTAGTCAGCTTTCAGGCCAGAGACCAGAGCAATACACTTACAGCTGCTTTTTTAAACTAACAACGTGTGTCTCAGGTTAAAAAAGAATCCAACAAACAAACAAACAAAAAACATTTCCAGAAACCACAGATACATAAATAATGGCTCTGCTCAGATAGTCCCTCTTTAGCCCTGGGCTGTTTCTCAAGCTTGTGTAGTTGTGTTACCAACTCATTGGAGAAAACTCTACTCTCACCACGTGCTATCACACCTGCATCTCGTGGTCCAGTCCTGGAGAAGGTGGGCACATGTTTTTGGAGTGCTGGTTAATGAGCTGTGTCCCTGGATGGACACCGTAATGCTACACTGAGCTATGGTGCAGTGAGAGCTCTTGGGAGGGGGGTCATGGTCTTCAGGTGCAGCGCGTGGGTCTCAGCCAGGCTTTCCCATGTGCCCAACTTCCCCACGCCCAACGGGACCCATGGCCCTGCTCTTCTCTAGTGCTTGATGTCGAGGTTGCATCTCTAAACTGTCCTCTCTCTTTCTCTCCCCTCCCGGAAAGGTACCGCACCTTCTTCAGACCTAAATACAAGATTGGCTACAAGACAGTGACCGAGCTGGCCTGGAGGTGCTGCCCAGGCTTCATGGGAGAAGGGTGCCATGACAGCCCGACTGACCAACCTGGCCTCCTGCCCCAACATCCCAGCCCTAAAATGCCTCCCGGGCAA